TGTGTGGATGTGTAGTTGTGCGCACGCGTGCGCTGTGTGTGTGTGTATGTGTGTGTGTGTGTGTGTGAGTGTGTGTGTGTGTGTGTGTGTGTGTGCATGTGTACGTGTTTCTTTGTCTTTGATCAAGTGTGTGCGTGCTTTCGTGCGGTGGTACATGAGTAAATTCACAGTCTTGTCACTCAAGGATAAACTACACGCACCGTTTAAGCACGGTTCATGAATGAACTCTGATTTTTGTGTTATTACGTAAGTCCAGATACCTTTTCGCAAAATTATTTCAGAGCTGGAGTAGCCTACATTTTAATCCGGAACCATAGACTTGAAACATGATATCCTAGACCGGGCATTGTCATGGCCGCAGCTCTACTTTGCTTTTAAATTTATAAAAAAAACTTCAGTCTTCCGCTGGGCACCATTGACGCACGTATGAAGGACAAACCATCTGTTTCACTAACGACGAGTGCACATGTCACGTTTCCCTCCTTATCCCTCTTTTGGTTCCAAACAGAGTCCAATGGCGCGCTCCACGGTGTGGTGCCGAAATGACGTCAGAGAGCACAGTCTGTGATATTATAACGCAAGTCTTTGCCGGAACAGTGAAAAAGGGTTCGATTTCAGACAGACCTTCTTTGAAAGTTTCAACTTTGTGAACTTAAATAGTATGAATACAGCCATGAGCCGGCATTTGAGTAGAACAAATTTAAAGGTAAGTTTAGATTTGGAAATTTGTTCAGCTATGTAATGCCTTCCAATTGGGTAACCATGCCTAAAATTAAAGATAAAAAGAAAAATAATGATAGATCTAGATATCTAGTCTAGATATATAATTGATATTGATATTGACGATATTGACGATTTAGTTGTTTGAGGCTCTAAGTAGAACCTGTTCAACTATCTGGTAATGAACGACAATAATGCATGGCGTGCAGGCTAAACAAATCAATCTAGATCTACAATTTTTTTGGTATTTGTCTTGGCCTGCTTCATATCAAATACTGTTATCAGTAGAATGTTCTGAGCACTGGTCTTCTCTGACCTCACAAATTTCGGAATTTTCAAGCTAAAAAACAAAACAAAAACAACAACAGCGAACCAATGAACTGTGGCAGTTCAGGATGAGATCTAGATCTATTAGGGAAATTTCTTTGTCTCAGTTTACATATTCTCAGTTCTTTCTCTGAGTAACACGTTCGATGTTTTTCTGCTTTGATCATGGGCTCCACCATATCCTTCTTTACCACCATTAGACTCCATTACGAGTCTACATTTAGATATATTTTGCTGAGAGAAAAAAAAATTAAATGCCATCCCTGACGCTGCCATCTGCACGAAAATATCTCTCTATTTCACCTGTAAAGGTCAAAACTTCAATCATTAAGTGCCAGATCTGCATCAGATATTGTCGACCATGGTTCTCCACTCATTCCTTTGCTCAAACGTTCTCGAAAAAGCTATATTATCCTGATCTTTCCACGTCACCCTTCTGTTAGGCTCTCCAAGCAGGTTTCTCTCGGTCTGCCCTTGTCTCGTTTGCCGCCAGTTTTGTCAACACTAATAGGAACATTTTTCATCCTTTCTTCTTATCCATAATAATAGGCCCCTTGAACAGCTTCCAAGTTGTTGGATCTGTTTGCAATTGTCCGTACAATTCAAAGCAAACGAACTCTGTTTCTGTTGTTACATTATATGTTTTAGTTTAGTTTTAGTAGGATTTTACGGCGCTCGCAACTGCATAAGGTCATATGAGCGCCACACTAAAATGTGTTTGAGTACTCAGAGAAGTTACTGTGGTGAAATGTAACGATTGTCTCTTTAGATCAGAGGTATCACTTGGAACGC